ACTTGACCTTATTAAACCTCATACAGTTGATACTGGTATGCAGTTTATTTTATTCACACATTTAAATACACGTTTATAGCCAGATAATTACAAGACATGGAATTCCTTTTCTAAATGGATGTTAGTCAGTGGTTGTGTCTGCCATGAAAATAAGTCTGCAAATTAATTTGGGATGGTTATTTCTACCAACACATTCAGATACTTACAATTTCTCAGACAGCCTGAAGAGAGAGCTCATGTTTTTCCTTGTAAGAAATACAAGATATCTTTCTTCACTTACCATGAATATAATAAAAGAAATGCTACTATATCATCTGTTCACATCCTAGCTTACCTTTACGTAAGTTGATTCATTTAAGTAACACTCTGAGTCTTGCAGATTTTGCAGACTCTTGCATTAAAAGGCAGTAATCCAAAGTTACTAGGTAAGTGCTAAACTAAATAAAATTCATTTAAAATAAATAGGATTCAGTGAAGAAAACTGCAGCTAAGAAGCTGAGGGAGATAGTAGCCATAGGTGAGCAATGAATGAGAAACTCAAAGTGCAGTGATCAAAATGATCTATAGATAGCAGAAGTCAGCAATGTAAGCCTGCTGGTTTTAATAATTTCACTGAGCTTTTCAAAATTGATGCAAGGTTTTCTGAAGAGTTTCTTTCTTACATAAAACTGTTCTATCTATAAGTCATTTAAATCTCATTGTAGGTGGCTACACAGCAGATCATCCTGTAATTAAAATATTCTGGAGAGTTGTAGAAAGCTTCACAGATGAAGAGAAACGCAAACTACTCAAGTTTGTAACAAGCTGCTCTCGACCACCTCTTCTGGGGTTTAAGGTATACGTCTTCCCGAATTCCTGGCAAATTTCTATAAATGCTACAGCATTATGATAGCTTTTCTTGTCTGTAGGAATTGACAATTGGAGAATACCCTTCTCTGACTACAGAAACAGTTTCAATGTTTGCACTTGTGTGTATAATGAGTGTGGTTTTAAAATATTTCATGAAATGTTGTTCTGTTGTTTTCTATTTTACCCGCAAAATTTGATAAGACTAAAAACACATGGGTTAGAGCACTTACTCTTTGTCATGGAAGATCCTTGCTGCCGTTTCATATTACTGTATAGAAGCAGTATTGCTACCAGTTCCAAGGAACAGGTTGAGTTAAGAAGAATGTCTTCAAAATTAGGCAAAAGAGGATTTAGGATATAAAAGCAACTGTTAAATTTGAACCTCTTAAATGAATCATTTGAAGCAGGAGATGTATTGTTTCCTTCTAAATAGAGTCACCACTCATTACCCTTTGTATATAAATATTTTGCTGCTATCTTTAGATTGCTATTTACAGTTAAGCTTAAGTGTGAAGAAAACTTTTGTCTGCTGCTAATAAAACTACAGAGAGGCCAACGCAAGCTGAAGACATTTTGAAATTAAGTTCTGGGGATATTCTACCCATGGGTTTCAGCTGGGCTGCAAAATTCTGGCTGAGAACTGGCCATAGACTTCATTTCCTCTAACATATGGAAACATTCAATGCTTTTCTGTAAGAAAATAAAAAGAATAAATTACTTCATAGTGACACCATCACCTTTAGTGCAGTGGTCATCAGCATGTTTGCTGTTGTACTAATTAATGAAATTAATATGAAGGTGGGTTTATGTGGAGCATAAATATGGGCATTGCATTACTCAGTTGCTTACAAATAAGAATAAGAATTGTTGCTAAACAGGATTCCAGTATGTCTACTTAGTAAATTTTCACATTATGGACTAGTGTGATACAGAATTTAATTATCAATGGATAGAAATGAATTTCCTACATTTATGGGTAAAATAGGTAGATGAGCGAATAAGAAATGAATGCAGGTATTGTGTAAGTCCTGAAGGTTTATTAGCTGTTCCATACAATAATGCTGTACTTACTCTCTTTTCTAGTGGTGTGAATGAATATTTTCTCACTATAGAAATACTTCAGGGAAAGATACTAATGTTTTATATAGGAACAAGGAACTCGGACGTGTATAATAGTCTGTAGGTAGAAACAATGTATTTGGGATTTTGCACAATTCTCACAATTCTTGAATCGTACTGTGAAAGTTAATTCTGGGCCTTTTCTTGTGACTTTTCCTGGCGGTGACACGTGATAAAGATGTCAAAAGTAAAAAATGAAACAACCCCCCCCACCTTTCTCATGCACACAACTTAGATATTTGTAGTACTTAATACTGTTTTTCTTCTTCAAACTTCTGATTATATACTTTTTTCATAAAAACAGTTTTCCTCTGGAAAATAGACAAGATGACACTCTGAAATGGAAACCACAGTGGTCTCTGTCAGACACTTTTGCCACTTGAATGATGTAAAATATATAAAAACATACATGGGCTGCCATAAAGTAGTATGTGGATCAGTTGCTAGAGGTGATGAAAGAATACTTCCAGTAGGTTAAACAGTAGCGCTTTTTTTTGGTTTGTGTTTTTTTTTTTTGTTTTTTTTTTTTGTTTTGGGGTTTTTTGTTTTGTTTTGTTTTGTTTTGTTTTTTTAGCCTGCAGGGCTATTTGGAAGTGGAAGAGTTGTTTCTAGTGCCGTGTTCTGCAGGGAAGCGTGGCCCTTTTCCCTTGACTTCCACCTGCCCCTTTGTGCTGCAACTTCATGTTCTCTTCCCTCTTCAGTCCTTTTGTTTATTTTCCTCTTTCTTTGTAAGCTGATACGGATGTGCAGCGCTGCCATTGCTGCGTGTGATCATTTAAACCTCCCTTTGGTACAACTGTTCTGTAACCCTCTGTGCAGTGTCACCCTGCTCATAATCCCTTCAGCTGCTGTAGTGAGTGCTGTGTTTTAGCATGTGGATAGGCAATGGATCCTCCTGCTTAAATATCTATAATCTATAGCTCAGCTACACTCCTTCTATAGGCACCTAGGAGAGGAATGAGCACTCCCAGTAATTTGTCTGACTGTTTCACGTGTCTGCTTCAGGATGAAATGAAGCATGTCTTGGATTCCACGAAACGTACTAACTAGATCCCCTTCAACAGTATAGAGAGCCTGGGGTGACTAGATTTGGGTATGGAGACAATGGAGATGGCTGTTTAATCACGTGAATCCTATCTAGGGTATTCATTGATTGATTTGCGTGATTGATTATTTAAAAGCTTGAAAGCATTCTCTTAAACTTTCCACGTCTGTGTGAATATCATTGTATAGTCTCTTTACTCCAGCAACAAACAGGAATTTACAGGACAGTGGAAAGAAAAATTAGAAAACTGTGGGATGAGACCAAGATAGAACAGTGCGCATCAGTCCTGGAATGAAGGCAGAACTGGGAAACAATTGTGTGAAAACAAAGTAAAGAGAAGTCTCCATTTGTTGTCATCCTTTCTAATTACAAGGGGAGAGCAGGAAATGCAGATGTAGCTGCCCAGCTTTGAGGTAGCCAGCGTGACATTTGAAGAGATGGAGGAAGTGAATCAAAAGTCTAGAAATATTAAGGCTGACAGTGACGCATTAGAAATAGGATGTAGCAAAGCCAAATGTGGAAAGCTGAGGTTTGTGTGTGTACTTGGGAGATAGGCCACAACCTGACTTTAACGTACTTGGCTAGGAAAAGTAAAATAGTCATCAGATTTTCAGCATGATAGCAGTAAGTTAAAAGATTAATTCACTGTACAGTGGACTTGCAAGCTCAGTCCCATGCAACAGTCCTGGCAACAGAAAGCAGAGTGAAAAGGCTTTCCTGCTGCTTTACTGGGCAGCGCTGAGCGGGAGCCAGGTCAGTGCTTGTGTGGTACTCGCAGTATACCTTGTTAACAGGGATTTACCACCAAACCCGCAGTTTTCCAGCAAATGTTTGCCGGAAAAGGAAGTGGGTAATTGGTATTGTCATCAGTAATAATGTATTGGTAGCCTGTGACAGTGTGGTGTTTGGCGCTTTGAAGGTGAAGACTGCCAAGCCTCAGGAGTGCTGAATATTACCAGCCAAGTAACTGTCTGAATATATTTATGTTGATGGTAGACATTAACACAAGCCATCTTCAAAATTTGTTTACATTTTTAATATGGGTACTACGTTTTTCTGAGAGGAACACTATTTCTGGTTCTCAGTTTGAAATATTCTATATATTCTATTCTGAAATATACTATATATTGTAGAACCCTCACATTTTCTTAAAGTTAGTGCATCTTAAGATAAGGAAGTGTCTTGACTTTCATAGCTTATGGATAGCCCAGTCTAACTTTGCATCATTTAAAAATTTTAGACTCTCACTGCCAGATTCAGACTCAGAATAACATTTACTAAAGCTAATTAAAGTTTAATAAGTTCAATAAATGTGATTGTTACGGATAAAAAAAAAATCATTAAAGCGTGGTTGAAATTGTTAAGTTCCAATCAGGTCACATAATAAATTGATGATACTTTTAACTTCCAAACTATTGCAGTTTCCTGCTGCACAGTATTTAATTATGCAACAAATGGTGCCCTTGGCATGACATTTCAATTTAGAACTTCATTTTTCCATTTTTAAAGCTAAAGTAGGAGAATTCAATTAACATTTTGAAAGGAACACTAAAAATGCAGCATTTTAGCCATGAAATACTTTTTAAGGCCTCCATTTGAACAATAATTTAGGTTAGAGTCTAATTGACCTTCTGCCTTTGGAGCTGGGATTTTTTTTCCCCAGTTTCTAAAATTGGAACTGTTTTACCTTGAGGCAAGCATTTGATAAAATGGGTATTTTCTTGCCAGCAAAAGCAGTGCTTTAGGGGTAACAGATAAATACCTTTTTCACTATACTCTTTCTCAGAACAAAAAATCCCTAGATTTTACTAAAAAAATATGCTACATACAAGATGTCTTAACCATTGATTTGAGAAACAGATTTTTATCACATCAGGAGAATAATCACTGTCTCATAAGTATATATCATTACAGAGTCGCTATGCACATCAGTATCATCCCAATAATAGCTGAGTGACTTTATGATCGCTCTGGGAAGAAACACCAAGTATAATGCTTCAAGTAAAGTTTGATCTTTATTTGGAGAACATGAAGTACCTCTTTATTCAGAGTTTTAGACCACAGTAATGTAAATACTTGCTTAATCTTACACATGAACAGATCCACTGAAGTCATTAGGACTGTTTTTCTTGCAATTCATAAATTGTAGGCTTGCTGAAAGATCAGTTAAGACAGAAATCCCTTTAGGGCAAGAACCGCCTTTAGCATTGTATCAGACAATTGCTTTTAACAGAGAAATGTTCATTGTATATTGTGGTGAGTAGAAGGAAAATGATGGATTCGTACTCATCCACTTGAAAAAGCTGTTTTACATATCTGTGGTATGCTGACAAACTAAAGCTCTAGAAGGAAAACGCTGAAAGGGTGTGTTTGATCATGGCTTGTTTAGTTGTTTGGTTTTTTTTTTTATATATCACAAATTTATGTAGTACTATAATTTGTACTTGGATCTGGTCACTCATTCGTCCTCTTTCATCTCAGAACATCCCTTTTACATGAAAAGTAGAGTATTTGTGCATAAAATTGTCATAGCGCATCACTTCATTAGCTAGAACAAAATTGCCTTTGTTGGGATTTTTGTGTATACAGAAACAATACCTGCCCTGCCTGGAAAGAAAAAACCAAAGTGTAATTCTCAGAAGAAGCCATGTCATTGTACAATGACAATTATTCTATGTCATTCAAACATGACACAGCATCCTTTCCCATTTAGGTCCATTACTGCTAGTGGTCTGTTGTTCCCTGTGTTCAGTGTGTATTTCGCTGTCAGGAAACTTCAGTGGGACAGGAACCCATCATTTTCTGTTCCTACAGAATAAGCGGCATCCGTGGGCATTTGGGAGGCTTTGTAAGGAGAGTCTGAAGTTTTGAATCCCAGTTGTTTCTCCCAAACAAAGCAAAAAATTGCTTGCATGCAGCTGTATTACTTTTTTCATTTTGTGTTTCACTGTTTTTGCAGCATTTGAAATTTGCAGGATACAGTGTATGAACAATAACAAATTACTGTTTTTTCCTTAGAACCAGATGAATGGCTTTGTGGTTTGCAAATTAATGGATCTTGGTGGGGATGCAGTAGAGGGAAGTGCTACGCAATTCAAGAGTGCTTTTGGCGTCACCGGGAATGAAAAATCAAAACATTTGAATATGTCATTGTGATGCATTTTAATCTAATGATTTATTTCCTGTCAGCTGTTACAGCATAGGATTTGGCTTGTATGTATTTTCAGATATTTTTTCCTTGTTGTGTTTTTTCAGGAGTTATATCCTGCATTTTGCATTCACAATGGAGGATCTGATTTAGACAGGCTACCTACTGCCAGTACCTGCATGAACTTGCTGAAGCTTCCTGAGTTTTATGATGAAAATCTTATGCGAAGCAAGCTTCTTTATGCCATTGAATGTGCTGCTGGATTTGAACTAAGCTGAGTCAAACTGATGCTTATTCGGATGATCTGCAGAGGAACTAACCAGTGCCTACTCTATAAGCAGCACCCATACCCAAGCAGTTTAAGGGAATTCTGTCTAGATTTCTGCAGCTCTTGTGTCTTATCAAATGCCCTCAAATAGGTTTCATTTTTAAACACAATTTCTTAGCTAGCTTTCATTAATTAATAGTACATTGACACTGCTTTATGATTCAAAACAATGAATGCTGTGTGCAGTGTGGCTGTTTCTGTGTTTATGCGAAGAAAGAGCACATTTAAAGAACAGTGACAGATATCTCAGTGGAATTAACCAAAGATGAAGCTTTGGCTTTGTGCTGTTCGAACACAAATAATTTCACAAACTGGCAATAAAGTTGTGTATCATGCAGCATATTGAGATGAGACAGGGCTAACACCCTCTCATTAATCTTTTAGATGGAAGTGAAGGAGATGCTTGCAGATATCCCAGAAATGAGAGGATGAAAGTGCTCGTTACCGATAACCTAACATCTTTACTTACGTTGTAGAATTGTTTACAAATCATAGTTGTTGCAAAACTGATTTTGATTTATACTACCTTCCCTCAGGATGGTAGGCACTGAGATAAAATGTTTATAATATTCCCTTTGTGCTTTCTGAAATACCTTAGAGAAATCAGATTTGCATTATTTTAAGTTTGACCTTTGGCTGTGTCATTATCACTTGAACACTGTCATAAATGGATGTAACTATCCATGTTTTCTCTGTTCTGTTTCTGTCTCTTGTGCCTGTACAGGTTATTTTTTTAAATGTGTCAGACTCCTATTGCATAAACAGTACATAACAAAAGTCGTCACTTTGGAAAAATACACATGTAACAACTATTAAAATTATTTGAACCAAAGTTATCAGGCTTTATCTTTTATATTTGAAGCCTGTGGTGTTCACATTCCTTTTCCCTGTCATTTCTTTCCATCTTAAATACCATATCTGTGCTGTAGACACTAGTCAAATTCATTAGTGTTTTGTGATTAAACAGCTTTTATATCCATCTGCCTGCAGTATTTCTGCTAAGAAAAGTAGGTGGGAATATGCTGCTGAATATAATTTGATATCTGGGAAAAAATTTGCTTTCATATGGAAGGAACTGATCCTCTAGTAGTAGGCACATCGTTGGGTATTCATATACAAACTGCAGTCAACTTAAAAAAGGAATTACAGTTCAAAGTTTAAGATTGATAAGTGCATCCCTCTGAACGTTAGTTTTATATTTTAAATCATCAGAATTTACAATCAAATTTGTATTCATCTCTTATGCAAAAAAATACTTGCTGTTACTGGAAACTCTGGATTTCATATTTAATAAGCAGTAACCAGCAATATCCTTTTAAATGTGGGGAAACAGTGATTTTAAGATGTTTACTAGTAACCATATAAAAATGTATAATTTCTTAATTTGGTTAATAAATGAAGTGTTAAAATACTATTTGTAGTCTTGATGTACAGAAATAAAATGATTGGTTTTCTTTTTGGTTTTGCTTTAGGCTTTTTATTTATGTTAAATGTTACATACCCAACCTATTCTTTATCCCAAAGTTCTGTTCTTGTATATTTTTCTACATAAATTATGGAACTTGTAAAGAAATTGAAAAAGAGATCAGTGATAGTGGAACTGCCTCCTCCTAATCACAAAACCTGAACACTTCTTTTAGATAGCATTATTTATTTTAGAACCTACTGCTTTAAATATTTCAAAATTATTTTTCAATTCCATTGGTTTGCTACATCGAGTAGTGTTGTTTCTGTATTTTGTAAAATTAAACTTAAATTTTCTATTAAATACTTGTATTTTGAAGATTATGTTGGAGTCATGCCAAGAAATCATGACTGGTAATGTACACTTTCTGCTTTTTGTAAAAGGAGACAGTACACACTATTCCTGTCTGTTACCATGAATGCACGTTCAACAGAAAGCGTAGGCTGGGAGTAAGTGTGAGTTGCAGATAGGTTTAGTTAAGAATCACACAGTTGCAGAAAACCTCAGTAGAGAATTTGAGTTTGCTGAAAATACTCTGACTTTTTATTTCTTCGGTATGTAGTACTCTGTGATCTTGTTTTGTATATTCTGTATATTAAGTATGAAATTCTGACATACTCAAGTCAGTGGGATTGTAGCCTAGATTTCATTCTGCAGGTAGTCAGCTGAAAATCTGTGCTGCAACAGCTTACACCACCTTCAGCATCCAGACTGCAGGAAGAAGAGGGTAGGGCTCTCCTTCGGCAACACATGCTTTCAGTTCTGACTGTCGGCTCTTCTTCTATAGTCGGGATGAACCATGAGTCCCTGCCTTTCAAAGATCTATTGCTGGATATTTTAAGGAATAGAAGATAAAGGTATGAGAAATAATATAGGTGTAGTTAGTCATATCCTGAGGAGCTATATGGTCTAAGTGATCTTCCTTAGCTCTTATGTAGCAAGAATTGTTTATGTACAAAAATGGATTTTCTGTTTTGTAAAAGAGCAGCAAACTCTCTCCCAAGTTGTAATCCTCCCAGAGTTTAGGTAGGCAGAGACAGGAAGCACTTTGCATGCAAGTAACCTGAAATACTGTTGTAGATTTTGATCATCAGAATTATGGAAGTAATAGTTATGGCTTTGGAGTGGTTTTCTGTGCAAGACAAGCCTTCCGTAAAGTCAATTTCTGTTCAGTACTTGCTTTTTGAAAAATGACATTTTCTGTTTGGCTTTTGTTTTCAAATAATTTTTTGTTTATAATTCTGTAAACTGTTTTAAAACCATTTTTGTCAAGGTCTATCTTTATGATGGAAGAGGTTGCAAATTCTTCATCTCTCCAAAGTTAAAAGGCATAAAAGCAGAATAAAAAAATAAAATTAGCACTTGGTCTGTTTATCTCCATGAGAATTTTTTTGGATGTGGGTTTATTCCTACTAGCTGGATTAAAAAAAAAAAAAACAAAACCAACAAAATAAACCAAACCAGAAATGATTGGCCTTGTTCCTTGATCTCAGTTGTCTTCCGTCATGGTCCTGAAAGCCAGATTTGTATAATTTTCACAAAACTCACTTTTAATTTCTAGTGAGAATTTATGTCTACAAAAGAGGAAAGATTTGGCTCTGGTTTCATGTGTAAACAAACACTGAGCTGACAGAAGTTTGATTTGAACAACAAGGATATCTTCAGTTATTTTTGTGTGGGGTGCTCCATAATTAAAAAAAAAACAAGAGCTTCCTGATGCTATTAGTAGCAATGTGGACGGGTATTTGGCATCACTTGAGTAATCTAGCACAAACATCCTAATTTGATTGATAAAGGAGTTTGGAATTCAAAGAAAACACTTTAAGGAGAGCAGTGAGCTCATGCTAAATTTCAGTTTAAACCAAAAACTGTTAAATGCCAGTGAGACAGCACATACTCTTCGCACCACTGAAAAATAGTACAGCACAGAAACAAAAAAAAACGAGAGCTGTTTTTCTTGGAATGTTTTGTTGGAGCTGTAATATTTTTTTTGTATTTATAATTATATGCAAAAACTTTAAAGCATTTGCTCATATACATGAATCTGTGTTAATAATGGTTTGTGATGTAAATGCTTGTTACTGTTTTTTTCATGATGCTTTGCCTGTCAGTGAAGGAGAGAAGAAATGATCATGGTCTGTAAAACTGATCAGGATATCTATATTTTTATTGACTTCTGCTTTTGTGAATAAAATGATTTTGAGTTTTCTTGAAACTTTGCAGAAACACTCTTTTCTTTCATTTTTTTGCTGTAAATTTGGCATTCTCTTGTTGAAGATTAATAGTACTGAATAGGTTCTTAAAGGGAAGCTAATATTAACTGTTTGTTGGTCTTGAAGTTACCATAGCTTCAGGATGATGGTAGCTTCAGTTTTTGAGCTCTGAAGCTCCCACTCTGTCAGTCAAACTGCAGCTTTATAGCTTTGCAGGTTTAGCTTTGTTTCAGTGTGTCTTTCAAACTACGTAGTGAGGATCACTGATGGGCTTTGGAAAAATTCTTCAGAATCTTTGGAAGGAACAAAACTTCCTCCTTGGATAAAAACATGAGAATATAATTCATAGTGAAGAGTGTTACTCTGTTAGCAAACACGTACAAAAAGATCTCTTTCAGCTTCTTCAGGAATTTTAGATAATTACAATTATCTGCTTCCCTTTGCTTTTCTATTATTTTCATTGCTAAATAGACTTTTAGTGCCATGATAGCATTTATAAAGTTAGTATTGTGTATCTTTTATTTTGGAATACTTACAAATAGCACCATATGTTCTTTGGCTTCAGCTTATCTGCCACTAAAAATGTGGTAAACAGAAAATTACAGAAAACTGCTCTTAGGGCACGTCATAATTCATAGCATGAATGGAACACAAATGCCCGGATACCTTCCCTGTTTTTCAGTGTGTATCTGGTAGTCTGGAAAGCTCATAAGATTTCTGATGTGTGTAGAGGCGAAAAGGGATTATGAAGTTATGCCAGGTCACTCCATTTCAAAGAACACAGAATGGCTGAGGTCAGCAG